TATATAATTTTAATTTAATTGTTTTGTCTGTGCCCTATTTGAAATGTGTGTGAGATTAGAGTGTCATCAAGCAAAATACCTGTGTTGGAAGCTGTCAGTCTCCAGACTCCTGGACTGTATGCTAAATCCAGGGTAATGGTATGATTGGTATAAAGACTGCTCAGGTTCAACTTTATTGCCTTAGCCCTAGTATGAAAGTATAAGGGCTAGTCAGATTAATCGATTATTGAAAAAGTTGACAACTTTTTCAATAATCGATTTATAATCGATTATGTCGATTAGTTGTTGCAGCCCTAGCTAGTATACATGAGCTTGTGAGACCGGTCAAAGGATCAGTACATAATTGGACAGCAATTTCCCTTCTGGCCCTTTTCTAATCTTTTTAAAGTAAACAATACTTGTCTGAAGCAGAAGTCGCTGTATACATCCCAGCAAGTCAGCAATCTGGAGTCGAAGGGAACATTCTTATATTTTCATGCCCTAGTGTGAATTTAGTTGCTTTAATTTTCTTCCACATGTATCAATGAATGGCCTGTGTACACTAGATCCAAGAATAGTGGCTTTCATCTAAGGCTCTTAGTAGGTGCTTTAGTCTTGTACATTTGCTAAATTTACACCTTGTGCTTAACACCTTGTTCTTGTGTTGTGTATGCAAGAATGTAACTGAATTTGTACTGCTTAAAGTGAACATAGTCACCTGGACCCAACAATCATTTATCCTAACTACCAAATACAAAAAAAGAACCGGGAAGATCTCGGATGGCTACAAATGGGGTTTTTCAGCATATGTACTTCAGGCACAGCATACTTTGTTAAACCAAACCAGAATGGTGTTTATTTCATTTTTAAACATTTACTTGTTCATTAACTGAAATTTTAAATATTTTCTGTTTTTTATTATTTAAATTAAAGTTTAATATCCACCGATTCCATGCTAGGTTGTTTAAAGAGCATATGGTGCTTGCTGCATGCTCATTTCACTAGTCTAATTGAAAATATATACAGGTCCCTATTAGCGAGCAGACAGGGTGAGTGGTGTCCATCCTCTGATACATTTATCTCTGTGCGGTGTGAATAGGCGTAACTTGCAGCCTTTTGTCTAAAAATGATAGGAAATTACATAAAAGTATATGTTTTTAAAACATATTTCCGAGAGTAATAATCTTCCGTTCAAACATAGAGGTCTATTTATCAGTGTTTTACCCTAAATGCACATATATTTTCAGACAAGATTCAATAAGAAACCTGAATCTTGGTTGAAATTAGTGTAAATCATGGTTGTAAACATTGAGGAGTAGAGCCGTTGGTGTATGTTGAAGCATTTTTTTCACTTCTAGATGGAGTGGGGAATGGTTAGACCATTTGTCATATTTTTACTGCAGTCTATGCCTCTGCTGGGGAGATTCTCCTTTTTGTCCTTTTGAACACTTTTAAAGAGATAGAAAGTGAGGAGAAATGCAAAATTGTTGAGCTGTGACCAGAGAAAGAGGCGAGGGAAAACCTTCAGATGGGGACACCTATTTCTATTACAACTCTCTCTAAGAAGGCGACAAATTAATATGGAATTCAGGAGCCGGAATGGCCAATCCAGGAGCCAACAGGATTTTTTTTTTTTTTTCCAGCTGCCAGCTCCACTGACAATAATGGAGAAAACCTAAAAAGTGAGGTGCTGGGGTGTGGAATTCCTATCACCCGATGCCCAGGACAAGCAGATCCGGATGGCTAGGGTTTTTTTCTATTATGTCGATTAGTTGTTGCAGCCCTACATTTAGCCCTACTTTGGGCAAGCAGGGCTAAATGTACAGTGGAGGAAGCCGCCACTCGTTTTGCACAAGTGATCTCGGCAATGCGGCCAAGATCACTTGTAATAATTCTGCAGGCCTGTCCCCCTCCATGGTCCACCCCCCACCTTCATCTGCCCCTGCCTGCTGCCTCCCTCTGCGCAAATGCCTTCAGGCTGGAGAGCGGGGAGCAGAGAACAGAACATCTGTTCTTCGCTCTTCTCCTTGTAAACACTGAGACAGGAACGCTGCACCTGTTGGAATAAAATGTAAACAGAGGGATTCCTCAATCGACACGCTGTTTGTGTTAATGGAGGAACCCGGCCAATTTTTTTTGTTCAGCCAAAGGCGTATGAAAAAAAATTAATAGGTATATGGCCAGCTTTAGTCAACCAGCATTGGCAGCCATATGTCTCCACTTAATCAATAGTTCTGAATTGTCTAGGAATGTTGGCTGCAAATAGCGAATGGCAGCGAGGGAAGTGGTAAGCCACTGCTCTACCACAACAGCTGTGGTTCAGCTTTTTGGAGTACCAAGTTGCTTTGCATTAGAAGGACATATGTAGGAAGCCTGCGTTTTACGCTGGCAGGTAGTTTACACAAGTAGTGGTAATTATGCCCACAGATTTGCTTTAATGTGTGCAATACATTTTCTCAAGCGTTTCCTATATTTTAGG